CCAGGACCCTGCTCTAGCACGGGCCTCCCACAACATAACAGCCTCCTCTCAGGCATCCACCTGCTCCAATGTGGGGCTCTTCCATGGGCTGCAGGGCCACAGCTGCTTCACCATGGTCTTCACCACAGGCTGCAGAGGAATCTCAGCTCTGGCACCTGGAGCACCTCCCCCTCTTTCTTCACTTTCCTTGGTGCCTGCAGAGTTGCTTCTCTCACATGTTCTCTCTCCACTCTTAACTGAACTGCAATTACTTCTATGCAATACCTTTTTTTTTCCTTCTTAAATATATTATAACAAATGTGCTATTACCATCACTGATTGTCTCAGCCTTGGCCAGTAGTGGGTCTGTCTTGGAGCTGTCTGGCTTTGGTTCTGTCAGACATGGAGGAAGCTTCTAGCATCTTCCCTCAGAAGCTACCCCTGAACCCCCCCCCAACTCGCAAAACCTGGCCACACAAACCAAACAGAGTAAGTAATCTTCAGTCTTCTTTATGATAGTCTAAATAGGTTTTCTTTGTAAGGCATTTTCCTTAACTGTTGGACCATTTCTGTGCTGTATCCAAATTTTGAATAGTCCTCTTAAAAATGTCACTGCCACAACTTCATGTAGGGGTAAAATACCTGTTTATAACGCTAGGGATTACATTGACACTATCTGCTAAACAAGCTTTCTTGAGTCACTTTTTCACCTTTAAAATGCTTTCCGGGTTCTTCTTCTCAGGTTGAAGCCCCTCATTCTATCACCTACCATAGCTTTAACTCAGCATTTGAATATGAAAAATTTATAGTGCAACTCAGTAACCCAGAGGAAGGATAGCTTTGAAGAATGTGTAGTCATTTACAAGCTGATGGCAGGACTTTGAGTTATTTCTGATTTTAATGAGTTGTTCCTGAAGTCACATAAATAAGTGAGAAAAGTTTCTGTTGATTTGCATTATTAAATATCTTGAGGGCAAGTAAGGTAAGAGAAAAATTTTAATATTTTAGTACATAAGGATTTGAACTGTTTCAGGGAAGAAAATGAAAAGAGTTTTTTTTTTCTGCTATTGCATATTTTACCTATTGTATTCTTGCAGTATACTTTATTCAGTGTATGTTAGTTCTTTCTGAAAGCTGATGATATTGAAGGTACTATAATTTACTTGTACTGGGATTACTACATAAATTACTCTTTTTGTTGTTTAGAATTGTGATGACTTAGTTTGAAATCTTTCCATCATTCAGTTTTTTTGCATTGATGATTGCAAGTCTTTTTGTGAAGGCATGCTTAATTAAGAAGTAAACATTTATATGTGCAGCTTCTAGAATTAATTATTTTTGTGCATATAGGTAGCTTAAAGTGTGTTGTCATAATATGGTAAAAGGTTTTGAGTCTCATCGCAAAATTTAATAGTTGCAGCTTATGTATACAAGTGTAGTTAGAGAAGAATCAGGCCTGTGAACAGATGTTTTTCTGAAAGTTCTTTACTTTAAAGCAGTAAATAGGTTTGCGTGCACCTTGCTTCTGACTTGATAAATCTATTTGCTATTACAAAGCAGACTGTAAACTGTTAGAAAAAAATAATGAAGTGCAAAGCTTTTTCTCTTCTTGATGTGCTGCAAGCTCTAAGCAGACCTTAGATTAGACAAAGTAATAATATAGCATATCAAATATAGAATATAGAATATGAATTTTCTAATATTTTAGGCCAAAGCAGCATTTTAAAAAATGAAAAATAAATATGTCTGTGTACAGATTAGATTTTGGGTGAATATAGTTCTTTTAAGATCTGAATAAGTGACAAAAAGCAAAGAAGTTTGTGCTGAACTTTTAATTTTACATTTTAATTTTATTCAGAGACCACGATGCAGACACCAGAGTCTGGGTCAGACACAGGTTCAACTGTGACTTTACAAGCATCTGTGGCTGGCCAGGCAGCAGTGCCCACACAGGTTGTACAGCAGGTACCGGTTCAGCAACAGGTAGGTGTCTGTTAATTTTGGGAAAACAAAAAACCCTGGCAAGACAGAATGATGCATTTCAATAGGTGTAGTGAAGAACAGATTTTGTACAAGGCTGCAAAATCAATTCCTTTTCACTGTTTCATTCAATTTTATTTTGATGGAACTAAAATATCTACATAAGCAGACATGCAGTTTTCAGAGTTTATTTCTTGAACTAGAATATTTGTCAAACACCAGAAATATATATTCATGATTCTATAAGTAGATTACTATGAAATGTGTGCAATATCTCATAAAAAATGGCATTCATTTGAGTTACTGAATATTCACATTTATTCCTTTGAAAGGAAAATGGATTTTTAAAATAAATTCAATATAGATATAAAATTCAAAAGCAATGTAATTTTGTACTTCTAAGCTGATCTCCCTGCAGGTTCTTGAGCAAATGCAGAAAGACATGTGAAGTAAAACTGTAAGTAATGCATAATTTGGATTTGTCAGGGAATTAAAGGGGCTTCTGAAGCAACTGGCTCAGCACACACTTCTGTGACATGATTAATTACCTATGCAGCCCCACCAACATTGGAGGGTGTGTTGCATGGGGAGATCGAGGAGGGAAACAGGAGTTGGAAAACAGAAACTGAATATGAAAAGCCATGACTTTTGTTCAAGACTCCTTTACTATGTGTAATTTAGCTTTTTCCTTTTTTTAAAAAAAAATCTTTGTTCCAGTTGGAAGGGATCTACAATAACTGTCTACTTCAACTACCTGACCACTTCAGGGCTGACCAAAAGCATAATATTAAGGGCATTGTCCAGATACCTCTCAAACACTGACAGGCTTGGGGCACCAACCACGTTTCTAGTAAGCCTGTTCCAGTGTTTGACCACCTGCTCAGTAAATAAATGTTTTCTAATATCTAGTCTGAACCTTTTCTGATGCAGCTTTAAACTATTCCTACTCATCCTGTCATAGGATACCAAGGAGAAAAGATCATCATCTCCCTCTCCACTTTCCCTCCATTCAGCTGTCACTGTTTCAGGTTATTTGGGTGAAATCTGATGTTCTTTTATCATATAACTTGGCTTTACAGTTTCAAAATCAACAATATTAAAACTGAGAATATCTTGTTAAATTATGTAAGTCTGTTTCTGTGCTAGTGAATCACTGTTGTCTAAACTAAAATTTCTAGCATTGTGTTTAGTCTTAAAATTTAAGGTGATTTTTTTCTGCATGTGTTGTGGGTTAATGCTGGCTGAATGCCAGGCACCCACAAAAGCTGCTCACTCACTCCTATCTGCAGCTGGACAGAGGAGATAAAATTTAACAAAGGGTTCATGAGCTGAGATAAGGACTGGAAGAGATCACTCATCAAATACCATAATGGTCAAAACAGGATCAACTTAGAGACACAAAGTGAATTTATTGCTAACAAAATCAGCGCAGGATAATGAGAAGTAAAATTAACCTTTAAAAACATATTCCCCTCACCCCTCCCTCCTTCCCAGCTCTACTGCCTACCCCAGCAGCATAAGGAGACAGGGAATGGTGGTTATGGTCAGTTCATCACCCGGGGCTTCTGCTGCTCAGGGAGAGGAGTCATTCCCCTGCTGCACCGTGGGGTCCCTCTTACAGGAGACAGTTCTCTGTGAACTTCTCTGACGTGAGTTCATCTCACAAGCAACAGCTCCATGTGAACTGCTGCAACATGAGTCCAACCCACAGGCAGCAGTACCCCTCAAACTGCTGCAGAGTGGGTCACTCTTCCATGGGGTGCAGTCCTTCAAGGACAGTCAGCTCCATCCTGGGAGCAGGGCCCCTCCCTCCACAGGTCTCCCACAGGATCACAGTTTCTTCCCAGGTGGCATGGGGCTCTTCCATGGGTTGCAAGTGGATCTCTGCATCCCCATGGTCCTCCATGGGCTGCAGGGGGACAGCCTGCTTCACCATGGTCTTCACTATAGGCTGCAGAGGAATCTCGGCTCTGGTGCCTGGATGACCTCCTCCCCCTCCTTCTTCACTGACCTTGGTGTCTGCATAATTGTTCTTCTCTCATGTTCTCACTCCGCTCTTCTCTGGCTGAAAATTACAACTGCGCCACAACCTTTGTTTTGATTTCTTCTTAAATATGTTATCACAGAGGTGTTACTACGATTTCTAATTAGCCCAGCCTTGACCAGTGGCATGTCCATCTTTGGAGCCCCCAGGGACTGGCTCTGCCAGACATTGTGGAAGCTTCTGGCAGCTTCTCATAGAAGCCACCTCTGTGCCCCCCCAACCAAAAAACAGTCAGTGCAAACCCAATACAGCATGTTCTTTGCAATACTGTTTAACTGTCTCATACATTTAACTAATAATATTTCCTGGTATACAGACTCAATTTATAATGCATAATAATTCCATTAATATCACTTCTACTTATAATGACTTATAATGTACCTTGGAATACATTTGCTTTTTTTTTTTTTTTAAACACGCCGTCTTCCCCCAAACCCCCAAAATGCAGTGTTTCAGCAAAACATTCAAATATTGGGCACTTAACGTGAATTTAAAAGCTTATCTTTGTGTACTTTCTCCTCTTTTAGTTTAAAATTATTCCCTCTTGTCCTATTAGTATCTGCCTGTGTGAAAATGAGAAGGTCTTTCTATTATTGTGCTAACTTTTTAAATTAAGCTACTATGGTGCTTTGGCTTCATAAAGATTTCTATGAAGCTTACTGTGGTTAACTCTTTTTAAGCTTTGCTTCAAACTTTTGAAAACTAGATATCATATCAGAATATATTTTCAATTAGGTATTACTTATGTTCTAGTGTTATTATTTCAAATATTTCTGTTTCACTATTTCAACTGTACTTTGGAGCATTTTCTGATTCTGTTGGACTGTATTTTTCAGTTGAGTCTTATTTTGAAAGTATAAGTTACGTAAGGTTTCAGAAAAGAATGTTGGGGGATCAGCCTGGCCAAGGAAGAGGAATTTGTTGCAATAATTTGTATAGAATGAAAAGGTGATGCATATGTAGTGAAAGATGATTCTGCAGTGATTAGGAGGGAATATGAAGGAGATACTGGTTTAGAGAGAAAAGGATAGATTATAAAAGTGTTGAGAAAAGGTCAGGAATTCTAAAGGAATTGAAGGTGTCAAGCAGCAACTGACAGAACAAAATGACAGTCTGTCCTGGATTAAGGCAAATCTGGGAGAAAACCTCCAAAGGGGCCCCTCCCCAGAAAGCAAACCCACATGGCCCCTTCCCCCCACCGGTTCGGGAAGGATTCTTCAGAGAGAAGTGGAAAGAACCTGTTTATTTAACAGGCAAAACACCTCCAGCACACAAAATGAACAATACCAGATGACAACACTTTCACCGATCTGAAAAGGATGACAAATTCAGAAAGTCTTTCCTGGGAGTGGTCGCTCTGTTGTCGCTCCCTCTGGCGCTGGGGATAGCTGCTGCAGCCACAAGATGCAAACTCTCGGTGTTTCCCAGGTCCCAGTCCAGAGCAGGTTTGAATGGTTGCAAAAAGGGAAAGGAAAAACAGTCCAGGGAAAAATCTGGACTGCTTAGCTAAACTAACTAACAGAAGCAAAAAGCAAAAGCAGAGCAGGAGCGAAGCAGGAGCAAAGCAGGAGCAAGAGCAAAGCAAGCAGCAAAAAGCCAAGCAAAAAGCAAAAGCCCCACTATGTACTGCCCCGTCTCTGTGTCCCGCCAGCCGTGGGGGAGCAGGCTGATAACAAACCAAAACAAATCTTGCTCTTCAGAGCCAGTCTTGAAGGCACAGTACATAATATTCAGCATTAACAGAACACACGATTGGGGATACAAGCATCATAACCTCACTCTAGGACACAGTCTTAAGCTGAACCAAGAGAAATTTAGGTTGGATGTTAGGGAAAAGTTTTTTACTGAAAGAGTGGTAAAGTACTGGAATCATCTGCCCGGGGAGGTGGTGGAGTCACCATTCCTGGATGTGTTTAAAAAAAGATTGGATGTGGCACTCAGTGCCATGGTTTAGTTGAGGTGTTAGGGCATGGGTTGGACTCGATGACCTTTAAGGTCTCTTCCAACCTAGTGGTTCTGTGATTCTGTAAGGTAAGGAAAAGGAAGAATCAGCAGTCCAGCCTGATCAGCAGCCCAGAGCCATATCAGAGCTTGGAAGCTCTTGTGAGCCAATCAGACAAGGAGGGGTCATAGCCAGGAGCACTGTGGAAGATTTAAACAACTCCAGAAAGCATGAGCAACCCAGAAAGTGTCGAACAGGGCGAGCAAACAGGATGTGGCATGTCAGAAGGATGTGACGCTGCAGTTCACATGGGCAGGGCATATGGGGAGGGTGGTGCAATCTGAAAGTAGGTCCACAGCTCAGGTAAGTGCTAAGTGCTCTAGGTCTCAGCCATAATGGTGGGCACTTGTCTCAGAGCCAAAAACAGTGTGTCTACTGAGATAGCCCCTAAGAGGTCTGATGCTTCCAACCCAGCTGGAACTGGTAAGGAAGATGTCAGTACAGGTGGTAGCTTGCAATGAATGCCTGGATGCTTCTCCTGGAGAAAAGGCTGAGTACCTGCACAAAGCATGCACAGGTTGATGACCTGTTGCGGCAGGTGGCTGAATTACATGACAGTTAATAGGCTGCACAGTATTAGAGGGGCTGAAATGGAGATAGATGTGGCTTTGGAACCATCCACCTACAATGGATACCATTGAGCATGAGGCACCTTGGAACCTGGTGACCCACAAAAGCAGGGTTCCAATTCAACCTCCACCCTCCAACGTCCAGACCAAAAACAGATTTGATGCTTTAAAGGCTTTAGATGTCCATGAGCAAGGCCAGCAAGGAGAATCCACACCAGCAGCACACAGCAGTTACCATAAAAAGAAACTTTGAGTGCTTATAGTGTGTGGCTCTATTAAGGGGCACTGAGGCCCCCACCTGCCAGCCTGATAAACAGTCACGAGAGGTATGCTGCCTACCAGGGGGTAGGATCCATGATGTTACTGAGAGGATACCCCAACTTGTGAA